GGGGATCCAGTGCACATGCGCCAGTTATACCGTAGGTCTATGGTAAAGATTTCTGCGCCCACAGGAAAGGAAATGCGTCGGAAGATTTAGTAGTGGTAAAAGTGTGAAATAACATTTTTACACGACCCTTAAATGCAGAAATAGATCGTTTAAGTTTCATGATATTTTTTAATATTTATATATTTTTCTTCCTGTGAGACGGGGTGGTGCCCTAGTGCCCCCCATGCACAAGAAACACATGAGTTCAGCAAAAACTTTAATTCTTTTCAACAACTAACAGTTTAACGACAGTACAAGTTAGTTGTGTATTACTGAAGCCTTAAACAGACAGCTTTTTATTACAATGACCAGTCAAACTCCTCATATCCAGAAGATGGCTGCTTATACTGAGCCAGGATCCTCTGGAGATCTCTTTCTGTTAAAGCGGCAGAGCTCCAGCGTCACACAGGGGTTCACAACGACACAGGTGGAGAGCGAGGGTGCAAAACCAGAGGGACAGAGACACCAGAGAGCAGAAGTTTGCTTGCAACCTCTTTTATTAACTAAATAAAAGCCTGTCTAAAAATATACAACTCAAAGTTTGAGTCCATAAAAACAGTTTAAAACGTTCTTCAAAAAGACCCCAAAAGATAGTTGGGCTCCTCCCAGATCCACAACGTCACGAACAGGATGGGAAAGGCGGCGTCCCGGCTTCAGCGTCCGACTCCAGCAGTCTCTGGTCCCGCTCTCAGCAAGCACTCGTCTCAGGCGTGCTCTCCCGGGGGCTCTCGCCACTCCTCCCTGTCAAGGACAGAACACTGGGGCAGAACTTTTGCCTGTACTGGCGCAGTGCAATCTCTTTCTCGTAGGATCGGCCCATACGGCACGTCACCCAGCATACAACAGAGGAAGCCGTTTACTCACGGATGCAGGCAGAGGTCCAACCTCTGCCCTGCTGTCATTCAAAGGCGTTGCTCCCACTCGTCACTGCACGCCAGGGATGAACCGGTCCTCCTGCGATCCAACGCGTTCCGTGCTACGTCCACCTATTAGTCCAGTCCCTCTGCCTTCGGGTTTCTTTGGTCTCTTTTTCCTCTCTCCTCCCGCAGTTCTGCCGCTTCTTCCCTTTATCAACCTGCTAACTATGCGCACCTGGTGCGCTGTCCCAGTCACGCCCACCTCTTCAGGTGACTGTCATGTCAACAGTGGCAAAACAATTTAAACTAAACAGGCACATAAAACCAACAACACACAACAAAATCATGCAATAACACAAAAACTGTTAAGAAATTCCAACAATTAATAAAAGAATTTAAAACAACAGAAAAACACACATTCCACTGTGTGACATCCCCCCACATTTTAACTGTGACAGTCCCTGATACATCACTCCAGTGGCCGATAGCATGCTGGTGGCTGACCAAGGTTAGACATTGCGGAACGCCGAAGTTCTGGCAGTCCTTCAGGCTGCAAAATAGGCACGTTGGGCATAACACAATAGAATGGAGGCTCAATGACCGTCTCAACCCCTGGGCCTACCTCCTCTAGCGGTTGGATACTGTCCACTGCTGGGGTGGTGCATAAATTTAATGCATTTCGGTGAAGGACTCTCTCTCTTCCCCCTTTCTCTGGCTGCACTTTATACACCACACCTGTATCCCCGACTCTTTCCACTACAACATGTGGTTCTGAGGCCCAACCTGGGTGCAACTTTCCTTGCCCCTGCCTGTTCCTGTCCCTAATCCAAACCCTCTCTCCTGGTGCTAATGGCAGAGCCTGTGCCCTTTTGTCATAGACCTTCTTGTTTTGGTTGACAGCAGCCGCCATATTTTTCCTTGCTGTTTCATAAGCAAAAGACAATTTTTGGTGGTGGTCTCTAACCCATCCTCCAAGATCATTACAAAGTGATCCCTGTTCCACTCCTAGGTTAACATCCACTGGCTGTCTCAAATGCCGCCCAAACATTAGGTATGATGGAGCGTACCCTGTGGCGCTATGAACCGTGTTATTGTATGCCTGCAACAGCTCGGGGAGGAGTTCTGGCCACTTCTGCTGTCTCTCTGCCTCAAGTGAACGCAACATGTGCAGTAGTGTCTGGTTCAGTCGTTCAACCCCTCCATTTCCAGCAGGATGATATGGTGTGGATTTACTCTTTGTGATGCCATAACACCTGCATAACTGATACATTAGTGCAGACTCAAAACTAGCCCCTCTATCTGAATGTAGCCTGGCAGGACAGCCAAAAGGCTGGATCACATGAGTCCATAGGGCATGTACTGTCGTCTGTGCGGTCTGATCTTTAGTGGGAACTGCCCAAGCATAGTGTGTGAAAAGATCAGTCATAACCAAAATGTTCTGATATCGGTCTGTGGGCCTCCCTAATGTGAGGTAGTCCAGGGCCACAACCTCCAGAGGATACGAGACCACAATAGGCTTTAGTGGAGCTCTAGGCTGATCTCTATTTCGCAGGCTACAGGCAGCACAACCTAGATGGAACCCACGCACCTCATTCTCCATGCCGGGCCAGAAAAAGAAACGACGTATTCTGGACAGCATCTTCTCCACACCTGCATGTGCAGCCAAAATAGCCTAAAGCAATTCTCACCAGGGCTGCAGCAGACAAAGAAAACCAAAGTGCTGCAGAAAGAACTGAACCAATTCAAGGCTTTGCATCAAGAGCTGAAGTTGAAACATGATCAAGAAATCTGTTGTCAGTCTAAAATCACTGGATGCAAAAGCAGTCAAGAGATGATAAAACATTAACAAATTCATGTAGACCTGAATGTGACTCATCCCAAAAGCCAAAATCAACTCATCAGAACTGCAAAAGGAGAAAACTACAAAGAGCTCTAGAGAACTGAACCTCTCCAAGGTATGAAGAGCTGAAGCTAAAGTACCATCAATCTGTTTGTTAATCAGCAGCCATCCATCCATTATCGTCCACTTGTCCAGCATCGGATCTCGGGGCAGTAGTCTGAGTAGAGGCCCAGTTTTCTCTGTCCTCAGTCACTTCAGAATGACGTTTCTATTTTGAAGTCTGAGCCTCAGAGCTGTAAATCCCATTGTTGTCCATGAGGAAAATGCTTATTTTGGCTAATTTATTGTGTAGCTAAATAAAACCCACAGTGCATCATTCCCAGTTGAGCCACAAGTTTTGATAAAACCGGTTTATTTAACCAGCAACGTTTTCTGAGCCTGAACCTGGTGATCGTTAATGCTAAAGTTAAAAATGGATTCATTAAAACCTTAAGTTAGAACTAGGATCTGTTCAACTAACTCACTCTTTTAGCCAAAAACAACACAATAACAGTGTTTTATTGTGAAAGTCTGCAGTTGTAACCCCAGGTCCAACCCACAATGCCTGAGCTGAATGTACGCTCGGTTGGCACATTGCACTGGGAAAAAACACAAACCAAAAACAAGCTGACTGGAGGAAAGCAGCATCCTGGCGTCTGGCACCGCACATCTGGCATTTAAAAAGCCTCGGAGCAAACAAGCTGACATTATTGTTTCGTTGGGCTCTTTCAGCCACCTGGTTCGTGGGGATCTTTTGTCAACGCATTGAATGAAACTAAAAGCAGCGTTTGTTTAAACCCCAAATGCCACGGACTGAAATGGCAAAACGGTTTATATGAATCTAAAATTTAAATATCCTCTCAGGGATACTTTGATACTTTTAACATGTTATGGAAAAGGTATTAAAAATGTGTGTGGAGATCGGTATTAGCCCCGCAAAGGTAAGGTTTACCAACACCGACTCATTGAGACCTGAAAAAACCATTAGGAAATGGCGGTTTGACCTTTAAACAGGAGCCTGGTGGTGTAGAGCACAGTCACTCAAGTAGATTCACGTCCTTGAGGCAAAAGCTCATTCTGCATGAAAAGTTGAGCGTAGCTCCAGAGGCTGAGTGTTTCTCTGCTACGTCTGCCCCTCGGCTCAGGCTGCAGATGTGATTTCACCACAACGTGAACTCTGGCTGTTGCATTGCTACCGCTTTCAGGGAAGAGGAGGTTTACCCCGAAAACTCAATGTCATCTCCGAAGGATGCACAGTGGACATGTAAATGTGGCACTTTTTAACTATAGCTGGATTGTTTCTGATTCATTTACCTCTTTAGTCTGTTAAGGACTTACATGGTAAAATGAAGCTTGCTAATGCTAGACACACGTTCTGACATAAAGCAGTACTGAGCAGCTAAAGCAGCTTAAATCACATTTACATATATGTGAGGTAGTCTGTGTATAACAAAAAAGTCAAAACCTACAAAAGAGAATAAATAAAAATAAATGTAGCTAAAAATAGCAAAAAGTTATTCTGCAATTCAGGAATAAAAGAAACTTGAGTCTGTGCTTTATAAAATGAGGCTGGTCACAATGTGTTTACTTACTTTTAGACTAGTCTTTAGCTCGCAAAGTATTTTTTTTGTTTGAATAAAAGGGTGCAGACACTTTCAAATGTTTCATTTTTATTAATCTACTGTAACAAGAATCTAAAATCCTCAAGTTCAGCTTTAGCACTTGTTTAAGAAGCCTTGTGCACTGAAACCACAGTACATTAAAGGAATACTATGCATTTATTTTCATATTTTTAAATCATTTTCTTGAGCCAATATGTGCTAAAATGACCCTTTACAGGGTTAATGAAATGTCTTAGTTTGCCACCGCCATCTGTGGCCAGAATACTGCACTTGCAACTTTTGAGTGGCAGGTCACCTCCTCTTGGACATAGTAAAAGGGGAGCTGACATGCCAGCACTGGAGTCTGCTTCCAGCAGGTTTTAGATCATGAACGCAGAGGATTTGTTGAATTTAGTGATGAACCACTCCTGTAGACACTAATGAGGGCTGAGGAGACATTTCAGCTGTTAGAAAAAGATGAATGCATAGTGAGGAGATAAGTTTCACTTTTGGTCTGACTAACTGGGCACCAGGGGGTGTTAAAGGCAAGCCAAAACTACAAAGTCTCCCTGTAGAGAAAAATACATGAACTAATCAAAGCAAACAAAAAAAGAAGCTCACAACTGAAGTTTTTGTTCAAACTTTATGTACACAAAATGTAGACATACTCTGAGGAAAGTTGTGTTAACTTAAAAGAGTTGGAACTGTAAAATGGGCTGGCAGGATACTAAAGCACTGTGGTTCTTAACGGTGCGTAGCTGCTGTAGTTTTGCAGAGTGTAGGTTGCAACCGTATCCAGGAGCCACCCTCGGGTCACCACTGTGGCGTTTTTGGACAGAACTGTGGAGCAGAGAGGATTTAAAAGCCTTCAGTAATACTTAGTCAAAAGATTTGCTTTAATCAAATGCTATAAAAAATGCCAAAAAATCATTCTGAATCACGCTGGAGCTCTACTAGGACCTCCACCCTGTTTAAATTACAATTCATACACCACTACACTTTGACAAACACCACCATCCCCCTGCAGACCGATCTCTACTGTGACAGTCTGATAACACAGAGCTGTAGAACAGTATTTGCTCCCACACAGACTTCTTTTGGTTTTGCCTTTTTTATTTTTTTGGTAGCACAAATGTTTCAGATCAGTAAACACAACTCAGTGTCAAAGATAACCAAAGTGAATACAAGACGTGGTTTTCAAGTGAAAATGTATTAAGATGAAAACGTTATCTAAACCAACTTGGCCCTGTCTGTAGACAGATTACCACAAAAACTCAGCATTACTCATATTTTTAATACATTTGCAGCAGTCTCTACTCTAGTAGGAATAAATGCCTTGTAAGTCATTCTCTGGAGAATAAAAGCTCCAGAGCACCTGTTTCAGGAAATAGAAGTAAGCTGGAGGAGAAAGTAGCTTCAGACAGCAGGATCTGGACTCTTATCTCCTGACATTTGGACATCTCACCTCTGACTGGCTAACAATAATGCCACTACCACTGACTCCTTTTATTTTGCAACTTTGATGTTTTATCTTGACAAATAACACAAGCCTGAAGGAGTTCTGCAGTGTTCTGGAGTTGCTGATGCTAACAGTTAGTTTCTACTAGTCGAGACATTCTCCGCTGTTTCTTGGACGCTAAAACAAAAACCGCCTTCCTCATCACGAGCCAAGATGGGTGAGTTCATGAGTGTTGTCAAGGCTCCTTGTTCTGTTCCAAGAGCTGTCCTAGAAGAGTTCGATCCCCTCCTTAGCTGCCCTAGTGGGGGAAATTAAACCTTCTGGGTGTCCTTTAGATTTTCTCCCAGCCAGGGTGGTAAAGAATGTGTTTTTGGTCATTGGTCACTTTATCTCATCCCTCTTTAATTCCTCTCTATGTTTTGGGATTTTTCCATCTAGCTTCTAGCAAGCAGCGATTCGGCCCTTATTCAAAAACACCCACAATTATCCAACTGTGCTTTCAAATTTCCAACCCATTTCTATCCTTCCTTTTTTACCCAAGGTCCTAGAGAAGATTGCCTTTACTCAAGTCCAACAATTCCTCGACAATAATTCCATTCTAGATACCTTCTAGTTGGGGTTTAGATTACGTCACAGCACAGAATCAGGTCTCCTGAAGGCTCACAATGACATAAATAAAGCAGTGGACAATAGGCAGCAGATTGCACTAGTTATGTTATATACTGCTTATTAAACAACGATAAAACAATGTATAGTTGTTACCTCTCCAAACCACTCCTGTGTTCTCACAACCGACCTCAGTCATCTGTCCTTCCAACCTAAACCTTATATCAAGAACCTCTGAGTCATCCTTGATGAACAATTGAACTTAAACAGATCAACACAGTAGTCAGGACTAGCTTTTATCAACTTAGAGCCATCTCCAGGCTGAAGCAATTTCTCAACCACTCAGACCTGAAGATTCATGCTTTCATTAATTCATGCCTCCACTACTGTAAGGCCCTACATGTCGGCCTGCCCAAGTCCTCCATAGCTCGTCTTCAAGTAGTTCTAAACTGTGCAGCCTGTCTCCTCACAAACACATCTAGATAGGTGTAGAAGACTATTTTCATGTTCTGCCTGCATGACTCAGAGCGACCAATTATAATCAGAAATAAGATATTTTAAAAATGAATATTCAATGAAGTTGACCTTTAAATGTGTTTTAACCACATTTAGGAAAAGAACGTGGATTACAGTCATTTATTATAAGGGTTTTCATGTTGAGCCATGTTGTTTTAAAAAGCTTTTTCCTTTGATAAATGAAATCCTCATTAGAAAACTTCATCTTTAGGTTACCTTAGACATTATTAGCAGACATGAAGCATTTTTTGTCACAAGAAAAGCCCCAAAAATAAGTTCAGAAGAAATCTATAAGGGGGGACAAACAGATTTAGGCAGTAACATATTATAAGAACAACAACAGCAGCACAAATAACACTTGCTTATAACTAAATGTAAAGCCAGTTTTTAGATCATTACAATGGATTATTAACAAAAACACATCTCTGTACAGATGTAGCTGTATTAAAATCCACTCACAGATAAACAATTGTGATCTTCAGAGCGAATAAGACTAGCAGATTAATTAAAGAAAACACAAAGATGCGTCATTTTGGCAAAACAAGCTAATCTGAATGGAATCTAAAGAAAAGCAAAGTGCCAACTGGGCAGCAAATATATGTGGCCCTGACATAAATATGTAACTCTAACATCAGAACCACATTAGATCCTGTAAAACACAAATAGTTAACTGCTGGATGCTTCCGTCTTAACATTCAAGTAAATTAGTTCTGATCCCCAGAAAAATAAATTATACCGATTTGATTCAAATCTTCAAGTTTGTTTAAAAACAATCCAATAAATAACCATGAGACAGAATGGTAATCACGTTCTAGCTGTAAAACAGCATTTTGTGATGTAATTCTCACATATCCACAAATACTTTAATCTTCTCACCAGGATTGGAAATAGGAAAAAAACAGATAGCACAAAAAAGGAATTTTTAAAATAAGCTGTTAAATATAATCAACGTTTCAGGTGAAAATTAGTGTTACAGTTTTTCAGACACAATTTCATCTTTTTTCTCCTATTTTTGTAATTATTTACACACCTAAGTGACATTGTGGAACGGCTGAGAGGAAAACAGTGATTTCAATTACAGGAAGAGTATAAAGGGCGGATAAGAGAAGGTGGATACTGGGGGGGGGGGGGGGGGGGGGGCTGTTCAATTACCTGAACTGAAAGTGCCAGAGGACATGGAGGAGGACACACAGCATTAAATATGTAGTAGTGTAAATTAGGATGCCAGGAGGATGGAGGAGGGGGACTTGGAGCCAGAAGCTGCCTCTCTATTTCAAACTGTCAGCTTTCCTTGTGCGGTGGCAGCCTCGCTTTAATGGCCCAACTTGTTTTGACATTCCCCTCATCACAATTTGACATTTCCTCTTGGACATTTCTCTGCTCCCTGACTTTCTTCACACTTGCCTTCCTGGAAAGTCCCTCCTGTCACTCTTCTGAGGAAACTCATCTCATTTTGGTTGACAGCATCTCCATTTTCCCTGTTCGGCCTCTCTTACACCTGCTGCTCTTAAGGGCACATTAAAATCCACACTTAATGGACAGACAGGTGCACCGACATCATCGTGGTTGTAGGAAATCTCCATTTACTAGGGTGCATCCCGATAGGAGGGCCGTGCGTTATAGCCAGTCACTTAAACACTACCAGACCTGCCAGCATTCACGAAGGTCTAGGAGTAGCACTTTAGGTTTCCAAAACATCCCTCACTGGTGAAGAAATAGGCCTAATAGTTTATATTTGAACAATGGTTAACAAATGCCAGAAACCTAAATATGACTCCAAATTGGAGAACTTTAGCAGTTTATTTTTAGCCAGCGAGCTCCTTGACTGCTGCTTGCCATAAATTAAACGTGTGCATGAACTCTACTGCTGTAATAGACAGCACTCTCCAATTGGATGCTCCCTCATGGTGGTAGGAAATAGCATTTTGTAACCAGCCCAGTCATTCTCCTAATCTGGTAGTATTCTGTTAGCTTTATTGAGTCATTTTCATGACTTCTTCATAAGAAATGCTAGCCGTTACCATTCACTTACATTGTTTATGCTATGCTAAAGCTAACATAATACTGCCAGATTAGGATAATGACTGGACTGGTTACAAAATGCTTTCTCCCACTTATCTAAATCTGGGGAATAATGCAACAGGCTAAATTTGACTTATAAATGGAATATCCCATTGTTACCCTTCTATATCTAATTTGGGAGCAGCTGAAGTTGGGACAGAAATGGCTACCAAACATGTACTTCAAGACATAATGTGTAGGTTTTGCCATTAAGCTCTAGAAATATTCGTCAAAACGTTGTTGATAATGAGAAAAAATGATGTCCAGTCGTTAAAAAGTATTGGTGGCTTGGTACTAGATTCCGACCGGTATGTTTTTTTAAGGCCAATGCCGATTTTTAAAAGAATTTTGTTGCCGATGGCCGATATCTAAAGCTGGTTATTAAGGCTGATATTTATACGTTTTAGCAGCACAGTGATTGTGAAAGACAATGAACACTCACTGTGTGCAATATAAATTAAATTAGTCAGTAAATCTCTTAATATTTATTGAACTTCAAATGTAAAACAAACTCAAAACATTAACAATGTTCAAACTGTTTCAGAACTATAGAAAATAGAACAGACTCAAGTTTTTTAAAGTGTTTAATATGAAGAAAATAAAACAGTTCCCAGAATAATGGTGCAAAATAGTGGCTGGTCGAGATGGAATCTTCAAGTAAAAAAAAATAAATATATATACCGTAAATCCTCTAATACAGGCCCGGGCCTGTATTTGACTCAAGCTCATCAAGCTCCAGGCCTTTATTGGAAGGAGGGCCAGTATTAGAGGCAGGCCTCTATTTCTATTTGAGCAAAATGAACTAATGGTTCGCTGGAGTTTTGACAATTAAAATTGCGCCCACATTTTCAAAGTTAAACACATTTCTTTTAACAACGGTAGTTTCTGCTTCAGCCCTCTCCCCCCTCCCCCTACGCAGCAGCCGCAAACTCACTGATGCACCTGCAGCCTCTCAGAGTTCCTGCTGCTCTAAACATTAAAATAATTATTTCATTTTCTGTTCCTCACTTCTGATTACCTTCAATGGTGTCTGTTTGTTGCAACCAGCAGGTACAAAAACTAACTTGTTTTTATTTGACTATTTTTCTGTCCTGTCTGTTTATTATCTTCCTGCATCTCCTCTCAATCCTAAAGAGAAACTGCTGCCTGGGTTCATATTCACCTTATGAGTTACCTTTGAACTGCAGTTCTAAAAGAT